TACTGATGGATACAGCTCTCCCTCCAGCTACTGGAGTAACTTATTGCATTTGCTAGCGACGCTTCCGCTGTTGATAAAGTTAAAGATAAGCCATCTGTTCATTACAGCAGCCCGGCTTCACTTACAGCGATAGGTGCGTCCAAGCGAGCTCAAATCTAAATGTTGTCTGCCTAAAAACTACTGTTCCACGACATCCCGAAAGCATCTGCATGCGCTTAGAATGAAAACTCACATGCGTGATCATCTGCCAATGATGAGGGATTATCATGTCAATGTTTTTCTATCGAAAATTCGAGGGGAATAACTGACATGTTGCTACCACAATGCAACGTAAGCAGATTTTCCCACAGGCGGGAAATAAGAGTGAACGCTTGCTGAATCTGTCACTCAAGTGTAATTATTGCAGAATGTATGCAAAGGCACACTAACAAGCTATCAGTCACATTTCTTATTAACAACTCAACCAGCTGTTGTTGGGAAAAACGCGGGGGGGTGAAAAAAGCACAATCCACCACAGGGACCAGTATGATTGACTCTGGGTTACGGCTTCTCATATGCTCGCCTTACAAGAATTCCCACGTTGCCTGTGAACTCCAAATCATTGTTAAAAACACACAGTCCCTCACGTATACCTGCACTTATAATAAAGTTGTCATAAAATGCACATATAAAAAAAAAGTGAAGTTTGTATTTATTCTTGATATTTTTTGAATGATATACAGCACGTCGTTGTTGTTGTTTTTTCCAAGGGCATGAAAAACACAGATGGAGACTTGAAAGTGCTGCATTATCCATGAATAGCATTGTTCTTATCCTCTGAGAGATGGAAAAAATATATATATAAATAAATAACTTCAGATGAATCCACTGTGGACTATTACAAAGCTACCAACGCTCTGGATGCTCTCCAAACTTGCCTTTTCTAATTTTCACCAGGCATAGATCTACTTTTAGACTTCTACCACATAATGGTATTTGCTTAACTGAGCAGCCAGCAATCACTCTCCTCTCTGCCAGTGTCATATCACTGATCAAGTGTGGCTCAGTTCCTGTCTGAAAGGAGGGCTGCCAGACATAATGCAATAATAACGGGAGCACAGCTTGCCTAAGAGAACCGAGGTCCTATTTCACTGCTGACGATGCTGGAATGAACTCTTTGTGCTCTTTCTTTCTCATTCTCCCACTACGAAACCCTTGAGCTTGTGAGAGCATAATGAGCCAATTGTAATTCCTCGCCTATAGCTTTGTATTGAAGAGTATATGGATGGGGTGGGGGGGAGTGTGGAGGCACTGGACATTTCTACTCCGAGTCAAAAGACGAGGATTCGAGGATTATCTCAGGCAGAAACTGAGGCTTTTTATTTTTTTGAGTGATCATTTTTGGAACAGTTACAGAAACAATCGCCTGTAACCAAAATTTTGGGGCAACGTAGGAGAAAACTTTGCATAGGCAGACACCTGAAAACGTCACACACTAATAAAAGAGCAATCTCTGTCTTAATCTCCATCCTTGCATTAGCAATACAGTCGAATCTGGCTAAAAATTGAGTACAGTGTTCATTAAGAATAGGTTTGCATTAAATAAAGAAAAAAGCCAACCTCCACAGCACTTAGAGACTGTATTTGCAATGGCCCCTACTATCAAGTGATAGATGGATCCTTAAAGCATCCATAATCTAGACATTATTTAAAGCTTTTACTGTAACAGGTGGCTTTAATGTAATGTGAATTGCTGACCTTGGGAGAAAAAAAAGACGGTAAATGCATCAACTAGATGTGATACGTTAAAAATCTAACAGCTTTTAGTCTCGACAAAGAGCACTCCTCTTATCCGGCATAGTGGACGTGAACCTGCGCTGCTCCCCCACAGATGCCTACTGTGATGTTTGACAGATTTCTCCCTCTCCAGCTAGGCTCACAGTAAACGTCCATCTGGCAGCTTCCCATGGGTACTTATTATTCTCAGCTAGCCAGGGGTTTTCTGTTTCCGAGCAGTCAGCCAGCGCCTGCCTCAAAGAGTTGAGAGCAGGACCAGAACTGCTTGCAGATGCTCTGCCGAGTAGCCAAACTGCGCGAGTGTAGTGGCATGGCGCTGGGTATTCAATTACACAATAACGTGGCAGTCTGTCCGAGTATGAAAAGTCAACTGCATTGAGAAAAACTTTGTATCTGAGCCACAACACCGGTCAAGTAAGAGTCGCATCAAGGTGTGCCAGTTTTCTCATTTGTCCAATACACCTCCTACACCTTGGTGGTGAGATGATTGATTTTCCCCCTCTGAACAGATGCTTGGAGCCATGGGTACCACTGAAAAGTCCCGCTGTCCTGGTCTGATGCCCTGCTATGGTAGATTCAGTCATGCAGTTAACCTCCATCACTCTCCTGCAGCCTGCTGAGTGTCTCTAACACACACTGACAAAACATAGGATGCTACACTTCTCTGGACATCCAACAGCCAGGGATATTTTTGCACATACCCTTCTTTTACGTCTAGGATTTTTTCCACGTAGCACATTTAACAAACTCCCCAAGCTCTCGGTTCAAGGACGGACGATCCGTTAGTTAAAGTAAATCTGCGGATGCTCACTGAGTTGTCCAAGTGCATGGGTAGTAAAGAAAGGTAGCAGCAGTGTAGCTCGGTGACATTACTGGCATGGTAATGAGTGAATAAAGAGCAGAGTCTGCAGCGAGTACAGGGGAACTGGAAATATAAATGCATGCCTATCAAGACACACAAAGACCATATGGGGCCTGTTTAAACTGCACGGCAATCATCCTGATTTAGAAATAGTCGCTTAATCTAGAACATGAGATGCTATGACAGGACTGTTCAATCAGTGTGACTAATCACACCATGACAAATACCGATGAATGATCACTAACTAAATCTGCAAACTACATATGTTGACATCGACTTTTTTTTAAGGAGGAACTGAAACAGACAGCTGCTACAGGTCGGCGTCACAGAGACCCTCTGAGTTTGTTAAAAATAAAAATAAGAAACGGAGCAGGTTAGGTTCAGATTCAGTTACCACGCTCAGCCCATTCTATTCTCAAGGCTTCTCATCCTGCCCTTTGGCAAAGCTGCCGGTGTCTCACAAATGTGCAATTGTCCTTTGGTATTTTTGGGTAGGCAGTAGTAGTAGAAGGTGCAAGCATTACATTTAAACACATATGCAGTTGAGCATACTTTTTTGACGCGTGAGGATTGTTGCACAAGTAGTCTTTTGTGCCTAAACAGAGAATCTGAACACAAAGGGGGGGAAAGTTCAAAATATAAAGCTCACACAGTCTTGTGAAGTAGTCACTTCCAGCCTCCAAATGTAGATTTTGTCACTCGCAGTTGAGAAACTCCGAGTTTTAACAACAGTACTATGCAAAAGTCTTGATCCACAACTCATTTCTTTATATTTTTCATCCAAGAAGTCAGTCTTTCTTTTTTTAAGTGGTCTTGAGTAATAGTTCTCGAGGCTTTCAACTTTTTCTTGGAAAATTGGCTGCGTTTTTCAGTTATTTTCAGTCCTGTGATTGTACCTGACCATAATCAGCCCATTTTTGTTTGCTTCTTCAGCCACTTAACACTGGCATATGAGTCAGTGAAGTTTAAAAAGGCACCTAACTCATGGGATGAGCCAGTGTTGTGTCTATATATAACAGACAACTTGGCAAAGAATCAGTTTTAGACTGTATCTTTGTTCACTTTGTTAACATTAGCCTAAACCAAAAACACATCGTTTATTGATGAAGAATAAAGGTGGTCATACTAAACATCAAGCTGGTTATTATTGTAATCTGGAACTTCAATAATCCCTGCACCTATTTCCCATTTTCCTAGCAAAATATAAGGAAACAAAGGGGGCTCAAGACTTGTGCACAGTACTGTGCAACTGCTTTCTGGAACAAACCCCCCCCCCTATAACCCTGACATCCACATTCAGCCTTGCTTTTTCTGCAGTTACAATGCATGGCTTTATTAGATAATCTTTGAAGCAGTTTCCACCACTGTGAGGAAAAGTAATTAATGCAGTTCTGACATATGCAGGAAAAAAGCAGCATCCATCAGACCCACATGAGCACAACTGCACTAAGTATGACCTGCGCAGGATAAACGGAATTATAAAGTGAGCCCCTCATCAGCTGTCTTTCTAGGTTAAAAAACAAATGTGGTATTGAGTCGGAATTTAATTATTCTTTCTTTGTGCATCTGTGTGGGATTTCTAATTAATGCTGCAGCAGATCTGAGAACGCCAGAGTGCAATGCAGTTTGACTACAGAGAAGGAGTGTTCAGTGGGTTGGAAGCAGGAGTTATGGTGTCTTTTTTTATGGCTAAGAGTGTAAAACTGCTCCAAGTCTTTTTACCAAGTATAAAAACTTTTGTCCTTTTCAGCTCTTCAGTACATGGCAGACCACCTTAAAAAAGAAAAGAAAAGTTGTAGCATGGATGAACTTTCAGAGGAAAGTTAATTCCGGGAACAAGAAATCCAGGTTTCTCTCACTACATGGCCACTATCCACGCTACCAGCGGTTTCATGTTGACACGTGGACTTGCCGAAACAGCAAAGGGGTTCACAGCTTAGCACATGTGAGATTTCCACACACTCACCACAGAGTGGAAACAAACACCATCCGTTCAATGCTTGTTTAAATCAACACTGCTGGCGTATTCTTTGAACAATCTGGGACATTTGATTCTCATTTGAATAAAACTCAAATTGAAGGCACAGAGCACACAATCCACTTGCCAGAGAAAGCCACCATTGTGTATTCTCATGCACACATATGGGAAAATGGGATGGGTGGGGATTGCAGGGCATTGCGTACCTTACTGGGCAAACATCAGCATCTCGGTGTTGCATTGGCTCTTCCCAAGCCCCACCCCACCCGTCACCTAACCCTTTTTCTATATTCATGCATTTGCATCACTTCCATAGACACGTGACAATTCAAACAGCGCTCTCACTCTTGGGAATAGTGCTATGAAAAAGGAAACAAGTCTTACCTAGTGCGGAATGGTTGGTCACATCTGTAAGCAAATCATTTGGGAAAAGTGGGGGAGGGGGGTGAGGAGGAGAGAAAGCGAGAAAAAAGAAGAAGAAACGTCAGCAAATTACAATGTACAGCAAGCTAAACTTCAACGCAGGCTGAGGCTGTCTCCGGCTACCCTGAAAAATGATCGTCTCCCAGCATTGTACAGAGTCAGGGGGTTAAGAATAGGCTGTGTCAAGAGAGGGGGACATCATTTATTAATCGAGGGACATGAAACGTCTGAGATAGTCTCCCCCGAGGATCCCGAGTTTGCACAACTTGCATTAATATTTGTCAGTGTTTCAAAATTTTAAAGGTGGAGGCAGAAATTATGTAAGCAGAAACCCAATCCATTACCTGCGAGTCATCGCCTTTTTTTTCCCTTCTTCTTTCGTTCCCCCACTAGTGTAACACAACCACAGAACAAACAAATGTGCTCACACAAACCCACAGCCAGAGTGTTCCTCGCTCTCTCTCCATATGTCTCTGAGGTAATTAAGTAGCCCTCAGATATCTCTCACCCTATGTCCTGGACCTTTTACTACACTTCCCCGAGCTTGTTAGTCCGACAGCGGACATCCAAGGTTCCGAAGGCGTAATAAAATGGCAGTCTTGCAAGTCTTGTGCACGCCACAAAGACCCCAGGCAGCACGCCAAAAAAAGGCCACCATTTAGCCACATCTTCACTAGTCACTGCTACCTGACATTCCCATGAGTTACAGAAAGGGGTATTGAGATAGGCCTGGTCCCCAACCCTCCCCTCTGCTTTCCTGTACTAATATTCCACCATGCTGAGAAATATGTACTGGATTTCCATTACACCGTGCTTTTTTTTTTTTTTTTTTAACATCGGAAGTGGTCCCTGTACAAATGTACTCTTCTAAAGCACAGTTTTGCTTTCTTGTAAATGTGCAATAAAGCACGGAAATGGAGTGAGCTGACAATAACAGGGAATAGTGTGAGGGAACTAGTAGACTCAGGACTAATTCGGAGTTGCTGTTGCTTACAGTGCAGTCTTGTTTTGTTGCTAAGCAGAATTTGCGGGTAATATGATTTATCACCGATGATTTCTATCCCCGCCCCCTCAGCCCCCAAAACTCCCTGCATTCATTTACATTTTTGGTAGGGATGCAGCAAATCCCCACGAGGATCAACAACAAGTGAATGTGATTGCAATATCTGTTTTGTGCGTGAGAACAAATCTATTTTCAGGCAAAAGGCGGAGGAAGATTGGGGTTCAATCTCTGGGACGCTCATTACATTCCGCCTGACACACATCCGTGCTCGCTGCTACTGTTGTTGCTAAACAGAGAGCTCAGCTGAGGACCTTGAAGCTTCATGCCAGGAAAATTGGACCCTGGGGAAGGGGGGGTAGCAGGGACTGATGTTGGACTTGAAGTGCCGTGGAGAAGCACCTGGGGTTTCAACGGCATTAGCATCAGTTTTGGGAGAAAGTGAGAGACCGAGCCATGCCAGTAATAGGCAACAATGAAAATGTAAAAGATACAGTTGTTGTGGCAAATGTTTACATGCGGTGCATTTTGCAATGAAGTGCAAATGCTTGAGAACAATGAAGCGCGTACAGTTAGATGACTGTACTTTGTCAGGAAGGACAAGTCCTACGCTCTCAGCTATTCCACATCCCTGTTTTTAACAGAGAGACTTTTTGCAGTGCAGTGAAGATTATTGATTTTTTTTCTTCTGAGTCCTGTGGTGGAAATTTAGGATGCCCAGCCAATCAAAACTAGTGGAGGTAGCGTGGGCCTAAGTGGATTAGACTAGTGGGTATGGTGGAGGGAGAATCTAGAGGGAGAAACTGAAGCTCTGGTGGCTTCAATAAACCCACTCTGTGAACCAGGAAATAGATGGAAGACTAAGACACTTTTTTCACCCTCTCTCACCCTCCTGTTTTAAGCAGATAAGCTGCTTCCAAGGTCTTAGTTATGCTGTGTAGAACCCAAAACACGATATGGAAACTTTTGACAAGTCAAATAAAAAGAAAGAAGCTGAGAAGTCTGTTCCCCGTGTTGTCTTTTCTCTGTTGACAAGAGGGATTTGGGTATGTTTGGAGTGGTCAGTACTGGAGGAATTACAAAAAGCCTCTGAGATGTGGCATAGTGAGCATGTCACAGCACCAACGTGGGTATTTAGTGAAGGCCTGGGCTCCTTTTAAGTTAAGCCTTGACTAGCCATTGCAATAAAGAAGAAATAGCTTTGCTTTGATGAGCAACTGGCAGCCTCACCGTGAACTCTTTTATGTTTTCTTTTAAATTCAGCCTTCTTTTCTTTTGGTTTCTTTTTCTCTGTTTTGTTTCTTTGTGGTTGTGGTGGCAGCTCACTATGACATCACTTGTACCAAAATAGCTTCAAGAATTAGGAGAAAGTTAGTGCATTTCACGAAGAGTCCTGTTGACATTTAAGCTTTCATTGTCTCAAGTCTATAGGTGTATAAATACAGTAGTTGCCAGTTATAGACTCCATATTTATTCCGGTATTTTTGCACTTTGTACCATTGCACATGCAAATCTGCACATATGCCACACGCGTTTTTGTTGTCTGCACATCTTTTTTAAGCACACAGAGAGCAAAAAGAGTGCAGCTCCTTGTAGCTGGCCAATAAAGCTGATTTCGATTCTGTGAGAGTTCATTCGGTGTGTGGAGTGTTTGCTTGAGCTGTATCTTAATAACTGGCTGTTTGTTATTTAGGTCTTTGGTTTTGAGTTTTAAAATTTGGGTGATCATCTTTTACCATCTCAACTCGGGTGCACGTCATAACAGTAATCCCCACACTTTTGTTCCCTTCATACGTCAAACTGTTTTAGTGGGTAAATGCACAAAAGAGAAATATTTACCATCTCATTTCACCAGAGAAACTTCTTACTCAAAGCAGCGATAATCACAGCAGCTTTAGCTCACTTTGCTGTTGCAAACTTCACAACTTTCTTGCCAGATTTAGCAACTTTCCATAGTCTTTCATCCTACGGTCACACCCGGGAAAACAGTTGGTATGAGAACAAAATTATCGTGAAACATTGTCATCTTGTTATCTTTGAAATAGTTACTTCGAGATCAGGGACTAATCCTGCAACCCATCGCGGCCCGATGCCATTTTCAAAGTGAGCTTGTTGCGTCAAGAAGGCAATAAAACTACAATAAGAAAAAGAAAGTCTGCAATCAGTTTGCAATTGAATGGGGTTAAATTGGTAATTGCATGCAATCTGTTTGTGATAATATATCAATTTACTGTGATAAATGAGCACACAGCTATGTCATTGAAATTCACATTAAACAGAAATTCAAAGAGAGGCCTTGCAGACAATGTGGGCTCATCAGTGCACACTGACTAAGACTGAATCACTAAACTGCCTCAGAGGGACTGCAGTCAGTCTATGTTGGAGTGTTTGGAGACAGACTGCCTTTCACCAGGCGATCTGTGCAAAGGCCTTGCAATCAAAAGTGTCTGCCACAGCTAATTGCAATCAGTCGCCAAATAGGAAAAAAATTCAGTGCTATCTCTGGGCAATAACCCATTTTTTCTAGTCACAAGAAGGTTGCCATCCTGTTTTTACTCTAGTGTGAATATGTCTTGTTTTTCAGAAGATCTAAACCTAGTCAGCTCTAGCTTGGAGTCAACTTAGACAATTTTCAGACAACATTGTGGTTATCAAAGTCACTACACCCCTGCGTTAGGTGAAGCTTCAAATATCTGCTGTTGACTCAAGTCTCCGAAGCTCAAAAAGTGGTATTTGGGAGAGTTAAAGTAGTTGCACTGTGAACACAGTCTCATTTCATAATGAATTGTTGTGCAGAGAAACTATGGTGCCAAAGATTACCCTTTATACAAGAATTTGGATTAAACTTAAAGAGGCATCATCTGCCCTTGGTGGGATTTTTGGTGTGGGGTACAGTATGGTGCGTCCTCTGAGATTTGGCAGCTCCTGGACAAGGACATCAGTTTCCCCTGTTTCACGCTGCCAGTGTTGAATTTTGTCATTCGTCTCTTAGTGCACCACATCACAGACAACACTGCTGTTTTTGTTTTTTTATTTTTCTTCTTTTTCTTTTTTTTTTTCCAACAAAAACCCCCACCACATCTACTTAAATACATTAGCTCAATATTACAGTGATGTGGTTTCAATCTGATTCGTGGATCTCTCGCAGTACTAATTCCAACAATGATAAATCAAACATTATCAGCCAAATGACTATCTAGAAAAGATTTGCCCGCTGCAGATCAAGCCTTAAAACCCTTAAAGATTAAGACTTCTATCTCTTAACACCAACCGCCGCAGTAAATCTGTAAAGGTCTGATCAAATTGCTAAATAACTTGTGGCTAAATTATCCTCTAGCAGCCACTAGAAATTCTGTGCGAACCTTTATTGCCAATTTTCAGTCTCTCATAGACGGGCGAATAAAGGTGAATGGGAAAATTTGTCTCTCGGGTCAAGTAAGGTGGAGGAAAAGCAACAGTTTGATTTGATATATCTATTACCGTACCTCTTATTGTAAATATTATTTCCTCTGTAATTATCTATGTTTCCTGTTTCAAATACTCAAATAACATGCTGCAGTATTCTTGCAGCTTATGTACAGTATAATGGTATTGGGTGCCTTGTACATAGAAAAGGCGTTATTGTTAAAACAGTATGTTACTAATGAGACCGATACTGACCAGGAAATCAAACTACCCACCGCCCTATCCCCTGTTCCTCTGTTGTCTAGTTCCACAGGGCACCTTTTCAGATTAATTGCAGTTAATCAGCGAGTCAGACATCCCCCCCCCCCTCAAATAAACAGCTCCACTTTTTCTCAGGGGCACAAGGCAATACACACATGCACACAGAAAGCGAGAGTAACAGCAAGAGAGAGCGAGGGAAAGCTCGCTCTCCTCAAATCGGCTACAGGAGTGAGTGCCCACTAATTGGAAATCAAAAGCAATGGAGCTGGAAGGCAGCCGAGAAGGAACAGTGAAACCTCAAGCGCCTGTTGTCGGTCAA